TCAAATTGCACGTCAATGCAAAAGTTAGGTATCAGAAGTTATATTAACCCTATATATATCTACGGCATCATATTCTTCTTGGAGTTTACCTTCTTATCCTCCCCTCTCCCTTTCTCTCTCACAACCTCTCTGGCGGTTATTATCCCTTGCACCTTTAAGGGAGATAGTTGTTTCAAAGTGAGTATTTCATTTACCAGGAAAATAAAAAACCTAATTATTGGGGATTTTGGTAACCCTATTTCTCACAATTCAAGGTAAGCGCTTTCTAACATCTTTGCAACATTTACGTACCTTCTTTTGTTAGGGTTTCTTCAATTCATTCCTTAATTGCATGAAAATATGTTTCTGCCTCTTTAAAACGACAACAGAATACAAAAGATTCCTGCCCCCAATGCTAAACTTCAACTTCCGATTTCTGGCTTTTTTTTTTTGTAATATTGTTACTGTTTGTTAAAGGCCTCACGTTCTGCTTGGTTATGGAAATAGCCTGAATTCGCAAAATTAGGGGGAAGCAAAATCATTGATTTATTTTTCAAATCCATATATGTACGTGCTCAATGTGGTAGGAATGGGCAAATATATCACCAGAATCTCTACGACAAATCACTTCTTTCCTTCTATTCCATTAAAAGAGAAAAAGAAAATTTCGTTTTTGTTTTCTAGCTTGTCTACGTTATACGAACTGACCCTTCTTCGCCATTTTTCGGTCAGCATTTGATTACTGAATTCGACTTGATTATCCTTTTTCCTATGACTTCATATCATATCAAGCTTTATAATTGTATCATTAAAGCCTTTTTGTTTTGCTTTGATTTACTTGATTGATTTTATGAACCTTCCTAAGCACTTTTCAAATTCTTCAATTGATTGGCAGGTCATGGCTACTAAAATGCTTATAGTAATTTGTCAATCTGGTGGTGAATTTGAGACTGAAAAGGATGGCTCATTGTCGTATAGAGGTGGGGATGCTCATGCAATAGACATCGATGATCAAACGAAGTTTGATGACTTCAAGATGGAAGTAGCAGAAATGTTTAATTGTAGCATTAGTACTATGTCTATCAGATACTTCCTACCTGGAAATAGAAAGACTCTCATTACTGTCTCCAATGACAAGGATTTAGAGAGGATGATAAAATTTCATGTGGATTCTATAACTGCTGATGTGTTATCATGATGGAAGAAATCTTTGCTCCTTCTGTTTCTAACATGCCAACCAGTAGGTAGTTCTCTTCATTTCTTTGCCAAAGCTTCATTGTAATTCTTGATTTGTTACCTAGATGCTGAGAGTGTGCTTTTTTTTTTCTAACAGGTCAAGTAGAACAACTTTGTCTGAAGAAGGGCCTCCACTTGATCCACCTCTGGGTGTTGTGGAGGATACCACTCAACCAGCATTCCTCTTGGTGCTTCTTTGATGTTGTTGATGACACCGACCATATTGATGCAGACATTGATTTGCCAATAGATATTGAATCTATTCTTCCTATTTCTGTTATTCCTATGAGAAGCATGTTAAAGGTGCTGAGCAGTGGGAGAATACAATTACAGGGGTGGGGCAAAGATTCAGCAGTGTTCAGGAATTTCGTGAGTCATTGCGTAAATATGCCATTGCACATCAGTTTGCATTTAAGTATAAAAAGAATGATAGCCATCGTGTAACTGTTAAATGCAAAGTAGAAGGTTGCCCTTGGAGAATTCATGCATCAAGGTTGTCTACCACTCAGATGATATGTATCAAGAAGATGAATCCAACACATACTTGTGGAGGGGCTGCCTTGACAGGTGGGCATCAATCAACTAGGAGCTGGGTAGCCAGTATAATTAAGGAGAAATTGAAAGATTTTCCAGATTACAAACCCAAGGACATTGTAAATGACATTAAACAAGAATATGGGCTACAATTGAACTACTCTCAAGCTTGGCGTGCCAAAGAAATTGCGATGGAGCAGCTTCATGGTTCACATAAGGATGCATCTAGTCAGTTACCATCTTTATATGACAGGATAATGGAGATCAATCCTGGCACTCTTGCTACATTCACCACTAAGGAAGACTCAAGTTTCCATCGCCTCTTTATTTCATTCCATGCGTCTTTGAGTGGTTTTGTACAAGGCTGCAGGCCTCTCCTTTTCCTTAATAGCATACCCTGGAATACCAAATATCAAGGAATGTTGTTGACAGCAACAGCTGCAGATGGAGATGATGGTGTATTTCCTGTTGCTTTTGCTGTTGTGGATGCAGAAACCAATGATAACTGGCATTGGTTTTTGTTACAACTCAAATCAGCTGTGTCAACATCTTGTCCTCTAACATTTATTGCAGACAGACAGAAGGGGTTGCAGGAGTCTCTCTCTGAAATTTTCAAGGATTCAAATCTTGGTTATTGTCTGCACTACTTATCGGAGGAACTTGTTAGAGACTTGAAAGGGCAGTTTTCTGGGGAGGTTCAACGTACCGTGGTTGAACACATTTATAGTGCAGCTTCTGCACCTAAACCTGAAGATTTTCATACGAGTGTAGAGAGCATCAAAAGCATTTCACTGGAAGCTTACAATTGGATCATGCAAAGTGAGCCCCATAATTGGGCAAATTCATTTTTCCAGGGTGCTAGATATAACTATATGACATCAAAATTTGGTGAACTCTTTTACAGCTGGGCATCAGATGCATATGAATTACCTATAAAACAGATGGTTGATGTCATGCGGGGAAATATTATGGAGTTAATTTATACCCGGAGGGCTGGTTCTGATCACTGGTTAACAAGGCTGACTCCATCCATGGAGGAGAAACTGGAAAAGGAGAGCTTGGAAGTCCATTCCTTTCAGGTGCTCCTGACTACCGGTAGCATATTTGAGGTTCAAGGTGAGACTACTGAAGTGGTTGAAATTGATCGTTGGGATTGTAGCTGTAAAGGTTGGCAACTTACCGGTTTACCCTGCTGCCATGCTATTGCTGTTATCAGTTGCATTGGACAAAGCCCTTATGATTATTGCTCCAGATACTTTACAACTGAGAGCTACAGATTGACCTATGCGGAATCTATACAACCTATTCCCATTTTGAACAGTCCTATACAGAACGAATCTTCTCAAGCTCTAGTAACTCCACCAACACGTCGTCCACCAGGTCGGCCAACCACAAAGAAAGTAGGACCACAGGAGGTAATGAAGAGCCAACTCCAGTGCAGTAGATGCAAGGGTCTTGGGCACAACAGGGCCACCTGCAAAGAGCTCTTGTAAAGTTTCATGTAAGTATTCAGTCCTTTGTTATTTTAATCTTACACCAGTAATCTCCGAATAGTCAATATAATGGCAATGCTCAATTCCACATTTCCACTCCATATTTGATCCAAGGCTGGCTCACTGAGAGAGCCTATTTTTTATATCCAGCTCGTGTTCAGCATTTTTGCGTGAAACTCTGAGATGAGTGTCTGTCTTTTTGTATTACACATGCTTATATCTGTGCTGCATCTGAACCCACAAGTTCTAGGGTTTCCATGTCTCAGTTTGCAGATATTCTGCAGTTTTCACTTATCTGTATCTATACAAGATTTTCCTCCCTTGGACTGCTCTGTAGTGTATACTGGAATATTTTTATATGTTAGCAGAATTCTGTGGGTGCGGGTAGCCATCGATTTCAGTATTTTATTTAAGGTGTGTTTCTGTCACCATTGGACCAACTATTCCTCTTATATGTTGTGTTTTACAGGGACCACAGTAAGGATCGAGTTCACCACATACCTTACATCTGACAACTCTTTGGAAGTGGTTGAAAGACACGTTGGGAGCTATGGTGTTATATTAACAAGGAGCGCGATGGCTGTTCTTCGATGTTCTTTAGTAGTGTGTTCTTGTATTCCAACATTAGGATTGTTCTACATGACACTAATCAGTAGGTAAACAATGGTTGTTTTAAATGTTATCACCAACTCAATCAAAATTTTCCGGTATATAATTAGGAAGAGATTGATTGGTTTAAACCTTTGAACTTATGGATACGGTAAGCTAAAGAAGCATATGGTGGTGGAAGGATGGCTTTTGGATGAGATGGACGGGAATTCGAGTTTTTCTTCTGATGAATTTTGTATATGTTTTACAAGCGATTCGTGAATTTTTTTTCCTAAGAATTTCATTTATAAAATTTGAGTAACAAAATCATTTCTAAAAGTTGAATTTGGATTTGGAAATCGTAGTTTATGATAGGTATGCAAATGTATTCTCTCATCTTCCCCATTCCCAGCCCAAATTGAGCATTTAAATTTACCAAAAATGAAACCCTAATTATTGGGAACACTGCTCCTCACAATTCAAGGTAAGAACTTCCCATCTTTCCCGTTATTTTAGTATCTTCTTCTGTTTGGGTCCCTTCAATTCGCATTAAATTACATTTCTGCCTCGTTAAAACCCACAAGAGCAAACAAAAGATTCCGATACCATTTCCGATTTCTAAACTCTGGGTTTCCTTTTTGACTATTTGTTCACGACTTTACGCTCTTCATGGTTACGGAGAATTTTCAAAGTTAGCAGGAAAACACAATGTTTGATTCCTCTCAAATCCATTTATGAACATACTTAATATCGTAGGAATGGGATATGAGTCAACAATTAAGCCGAATATGTCATCAGAATCTACTGAAAATCACTTCTTTCCTTCTTTTCCAGTAAAAGGGGGGGAAAAAGAGACAATATTGTTCTGTTTTCTGTCTTACTGTATCCAAGCTGACCGTTCTTCGCCATTTGACTGTCAGCATTTGATAACTGGACTCAACATGAGTATCCTTTTTCTCATGCCTTCATATCAAGATTTATAACTATATCATTAAACCTTTTGTTTTGTTTTGTTTTGCTTTGCTTTGGTTGATTGGTTTTATGGACTGTCCTGAGTATTTCTGAAATTCTTTACATGATTGCCAGGTCATGGCTACGAAAAGGCTAATAGCAATTTTGTCAATCTGGTGGTGAATTTGAGACTGAAAAGAATGGTTCTTTGTCATATAGAGGTGGAGATGCACATGCAATCGAAGTTGACAATCAAACGAAGTTCGATGACTTCAAGATGGAAATAGCAGAAATGTTTAATTGTAGCATTAGTACTATGTCTATCAAATGCTTCGTCCCTGGTAATAGGAAGACTCTCATTACTGTCTCCAATGACAAGGATTTAGAGCAGATGATAAAATTTCACGGGGATTCTATAACTGCTGATGTGTATATCATAATGGAAGAAACTGTTGCTCCTGATATTTCTAACATGCCAGCCAATAGGTAGTTTTCCTCGTTCCTAAGCTAGTGCTTCGGTGTAATTCTTGGTTATTTACTTGATGTTGAGTGCTCTCTTTTTTTTTGCAGGTCAAGTAGAACAACTTTGTCTGAAGAAGTGCCTCCACTTGATCCCCCTCTTGATGTTGTTGATGATACCACCCAACACAATATTCCAATTGGGGCCTCTCTAGATATTTGCTGATAACGCCAATTTTGATGCACACATTGATCTTCCACCTGATATTGCATGTGTTCTTTCTATTTCTGTGGTTCCCTATGAGAAGCATGCTAAAGGTGCTGCACAGTGCCAGAACACAATTACAGGAGTGGGGCAAAAATTTGATAGTGTTCATGAATATCGTGAATCATTGCGTAAATATGCCATTGCACATCAGTTTGCATTTAGGTTTATTAAGAATGATGGCCATCGTGTGACTGCTAAGTGCAAAGCAGAAGGTTGCCCTTGGAGTATTCATGCATCAAAGGGGTCAGCCACTCAGCTGATCAGCATCAAGACAATGAATCCAACACATACTTGTAGAGGAGCTGCTGTGTCAAGCGGACCTCAAGCAACTGGGAGCTGGGTAGCTAGTATCATTAAGGATAAGTTGAAAGTTTTTCCAGACTACCAAAGACATTGCAAATGACATTAAAAAGAATATGGACTACAACTGAACTACTCTCAGGCTTGGCGTGGGAAAGAAAGTGCCCAGGAGCACCTTCAGGGTTCACATAAGGATGCATATAGTCAGTTACCATCTTTATGTGACAGGATAATGGAGACCAATCCTGGCAGTCTTGCTACGTTCACCACTAAGGAAGACTCAAGTTTTCATCGCCTCTCTATCTCATTCCATGCCACTTTGAGCGGTTTTGTACAAGGTTGCAGGCCTCTCCTTTTCCTTGATAGCATACCCTTGAAGTCCAAATATCAAGGAACGTTGTTGACAGCAACTGCTGCAGATGGAGATGACGGTGTATTTCCCGTTGTAGATGCAGAAAACAATGATAACTGGCATTGGTTTTTGTTACAGTTCAAATCAGCTGTGTCAACATCTCCTCTTAACATTTATTGCAGATAGACAGAATGGGTTGCAGGAGCCGATCTGTGAAATTTTCAAGGGTTCGTATCATGGTTATTGTCTGCGCTGCATAGCTGAGCAACTCGTTAGAGACTTGAAAGGGCAGTGTTCTCAGGAGGTTAAACGAATTGTGATTGAAGATCTTCATCATGCAGATTTTGCACCTAATCCCGAAGATTTTAATGCAAGTGTCGAGAGAATAAAAAAGAATTAACTGGATGCTTACACTTGGATCATGCAAAGTGAGCCCCAGAATTGGGCGAATTCATTGTTCCAGGGTGCCAGATATAACATTTGACATCAAACTTTGGCCAACTCTTTTACAACTGGGCCGCAAATGCAGATGAATTACCTACCTATAACACAGATGGTCGATGTCATACGGGGAAACAATATGGAGTTATTTATTACCCGGAGGGCTAATTCTGATCACTGGTTAACAAGGCTGACTCCATCCATGGAGGAAAAACTGGAAAACGAGAGCTCGAAAGTCTGTTCCCTTCAAGTGCTACCAACAGCTGGTACCATATTTGATGTTCAAGGTGAATCTACTGAAGTGGTTGACATGGATCGTTGCTGGGATTGTAGTTGTAAAGGTTGGCAACTTACTGGTTTACAACTGAGAGCTACAGATTGACCTATGCAAAATCTGTCCAACCAATTCTAGATGAGGACAGGCCTGTGCAGAAAGATTCTTCACAAGCTCTAGTAACTCCACCAACACGTCGTCCGCCAGGTCGGCCTACCACAAAGAAAGTAGGATCACAGGAGGCAAAGAAGATCAAACTCTAGTGCTGTAGATAGGGCTATAAACGATTCGAGTACCCTATATACAAGAGTCTTGGACACAACAATTCCACTTGCAAAAGGTCTCTTGTAAAGTTTTGTATATTGTAAATATTCACTCTTATCTATTCCCTATTTTCACTTTCTTTCTTCGATTTCTTTTCATCCCAAGTAGAGGGTATTAGGTGTGTCATTTTCTGATTAAAGAGGAAATAAAATAAAAATAAAACAACTCTAATCAAGTGGTAACATATGTCATCATCTAATTAGAGAATTAAATTTATTTAATTAAATTAAAACTAAGGTTAAATTGATTGAATGTGTAAGTAATAAAGACAAAAAAATATATATAAATTTTTAACTACCACATCAGTTTTTTCATCAAATGTTAACGACAATTAACTTAATTGAAAATGTTTAAATAATTACAGTATCATAGGTATAATTTATCCTAATTAATATCCATTCAATATAATTTACCCAATAATTAATGGTATAAATTACTCTAATTAATATGCCTTCAATATAATTTATTTTAGTGTAAATTACATGTTGATCACTTTCATTTAAGTTTTGTATATTTTTTTCTCATTGGATTAAAAAACATAAGATTCAATCACTTTCGATTTTATTTAATTAAGATGCGGTTATTGAGGGTTAACTGTTGTTAGACCTTTAACGGATTGCTAACATGACATAATAAATTTATAACATTAAAAAGGGTAAATTTTACAAATGGTCATTAATGTTTGAGTAAATTTTTATTTTTTTCATTGAAGCTTTCAAAATAACAAATTGGTGACTAAAACATCAAATAAGTCCTTGAATAATGGTTTTATATCTAATTTTACCTCGAAATCTTTTTAATTTCTCCCATTTTTTCCAATATATATATACTTTTTAAATTTTAAAAATAGAACTTAGGGATTAACTTTATTGGATATAAAGCAATCAACTATTTTAAATGGTAAACAAAAAATTAGAAAGCTTTTGAAATGTGTAAGATATAAATTTATTGTTCAATGATTTATTTGATGTTTTAGTGATCAATTTGTTATTTTTGAAACTTCAATGAAAAAATGAAAACTTATCTAAACATAGTGACTATTGTGTAGTTTATCCTTTTTAATTTTATAAATTCATTATACCATATCATCAAATGGTTAAATATCTAACGATAATTAATTTTTATTGACCACATCTTAATTAAATTAAAAAGAAAGTGAAAAAATCTTAATTAAATAAAAATGAAAGTAATCAAATATTCTATTTTTTTAATTCAATTAATATATTATATATATATAATTTAAATCGAAGTGATCATGTAATTTATTCTTTTATTTTAATATTTTTGTTAAACTAGTTGACTCGCCTTGAATTAAACTTGACCATAGTCAATGCTTGCATAAAACATAATATAACCCTAAGGGTGCGTTTGGTTCACGGAATGTAAGATTATCAGTGAGAATGTAAGATTACCAGGGAATAGGATTACTGGGAATGTTGTATTTTTTGTTTGGTTGGTTTAGCAGGAATGTAATATTATCATGTTTGGTTAAAGGAATAAAAGATTATTAGAATGTATATTTGATCAAATTGTCCTTACTATATATTTCTTTTGAACAAGTTAGAAAATATTTGTATATTTTCTTTAAAAAAATTAAATTCATAAAATTTATATAATTTTTTTTACAAAATTGAAAATATAAAAAAGTTTAATGAAAGGGTAAAATTTTTATTTTAACCTCTGAACTTCATATAAAATTTTAATTGTAGATTTTTTTTGTAAATCTAAAATAGTTTAAGGATAGATTTGTAATTTAACATTCGTAGAATTTTTATTATTCAATGACAAAATAAGGATATTTTTTTAAAAAAATTTTAAGGGCATTTTAGTCCAAAACGTCGGTAATCGAACAATACCTAAGGAAAGGAAGGCAATGACATTCCCGGTAATATATCCAAAAAAATCCACTATTGGTAATCTTACATTACCGAAAATGAGATTCCCGATCTAACCAAACTGAGGAATGTGGGATTCTCATTCTCCCATCCAAACACCCCCAAATAATAAAACAATCTTTAATTTAGTGGGAAGAGACACTAGCTCCCTTAAGTAAGGTCAGAGGTTCAAATCCTAGCGTTTGCGAATAGAGCAAACTGAGTTGGGAGGGTCACCTTCGTCTCTGTATTACCCGATCTAAATTAGTCAGTCGATCTGGATTAATCGATCAATAGCTTAGATACAAGTGATTAATTAAAAAAAAAAACGTCGTAACCTATAAGGACTCCTTTTGCCCCTTCTGCTTCATCTTCTACGCCGGCTCCCCTCCTCATCCTTCCAAACGCGTCGCCTGCTCCAACTGCTCCTCCATCACCCACTCCCACTGCGCCGGCGACATCTTGCTCACCTCTTACATCTGTCCGCCCTGTAAGGACTCTTCATTCTCTTTCTTCCCTCTCAAGGACAACAGGATCGACAAGAAGCTCGCTATCGCTTTGCTCTGTGCTTCCAAGATTGCCTCCTCCTCCATGGCGAAGGCCGTCACCGTAGCATGGGCCGAGGTTGACCGGAAAGCAAGAGAGGCGGCGCTCGCGAGAAAGCGGACGAAGGAAGCAATCGAACACCTCCTCGTCATTACTCGTAAGGACAAGGCCAGAAAGGAGAATGAAAACGTTGATCCCGCCAAAGTTGAAGAACCGGACTTGGATGGAGATGGAGATGGGGATATCGATATTGATCTCGTGCGCCATATAGAAGATAGTCTCGCTAAAGTCGACGATTGATGCTTGAACTCAACTGAGTTTCCTTTTCGATTTTGTTCTAAAAAGTTGTATAGTGATTTTTATTTCTTCTTCATCATCATCTCTCTTTGCTTGCATTGAATGTTTACACAGTAGGGAATTCCGATTGGTTTTTCCACACAATTTGGTGGTCTTTTCCGTTGCTTTTTCCTTTATATACTCCAAAGTTGCTTTTGTTCATAGAGAAATGCGAAGCTGAAGCTAATACAGCAGACTTTGATTTGACAGTTTTCTTAAATAGTGCTTTCTCATGTAATATTGTCCTGCTTTACCTTTTAATTCATTTGAAGAATGATTCCATGCAACGCATGAATTGTATACAAGGGCTCCGGTTGTTGGTTCTTCCAACTCGGTTTTCTCATTAACAAGATTACAACTCCACGCCCAATTTCTTATCATTCCATCCAACACTTCTCTGTGTTTATTTTGTTTCACAATTCATGGATACATTTCTTCTTTTTTACTATCTTTATATGTCATTGTCCACCAATGTGATGTAAAAATAAAATTAAGATCCAATGACAAAATTATGTTACATCAAAGAATAAAAAAACCATTAATTATTTCAATTTAAAATCTAAAAGGATTTAGAATATTATTTAACTAGCACGAATCAATTTATCTTAAGTAATTAAAGGAATTGTTGTTTTTTTTAGAGGTCACAAGTCTCATCATAGTATATTAAAAAGGCTTAAATGCACCAATGCTCCCTTAAAGTATTTTTTGGGACGTTGTCACCTAAAGTTTAAATTGGTACCTTGTTTGTCTCAAATCATAACTCCTTTAAAAATAAGAAAGATAAATTACATATTTAATCACTCAACTATTTTCATGCTTTTCGTTTCATCACCTAATTATTTCAATACAGCAAAATTGGTTTATAGCGGCATTTTTAGTGGCGTTTTTTGAACAAACGCTGCAAAAGATCTAACTTTAGAGGTGTTTTTTGAACATATGCTTACTGAAGCAACACGAAAAGCTGAGACATCTGAAAACATACATGGCATCTCATCTGCTTCATCTACATCATGACCTTGCTCCTCAACTATCTGACGAACAGGATCGAACCTTGTCGAACCAGAAACAAGTCGAATCATTGTTTTACTCTCCTGTCCAAGCATAGAACCAGCGTCAACTGAACTAGAACAATCATTCACTATAAGTTCCAAGAATCCGCATCCATAACACTTCCTAAAAGGATTGAAGCACCTCTCTCGATGATTTTTTTGCCATAATGCTCGCACTCTGGATACCTTAAAACTCCATCATAATCTCTAGATCTCGCTACAGACGAAGAAGCTGGCAGTCTCCTACGAGACCCTACACTTGTACTCTGACTCGGTTGGAGTAACAAAGTTGATGTCACTCTCCTTTGCTCTCGTGAACCTCGGGTCCTCTCGTTCACTGACTGAGATTGGTCCACTGGCACATAAATCCTCATACTTAGGCTACCTGATTCACCCAACCAACTCTTCCTCATAGTTTGTAACCCCTCCACGGCCTTGACCTGCTGTGACGACTCTGAAAAACACTCTGGGCGGGTCTACCGCCTACTACTCAGGGAACCTCTTGCATCTCAAAGACTCGATCGTAACTAGCTTTAGAGTGTAGCAACTCAATTCT